TCAAGATCAACAAAGCTTCAACATTAGTTTATTTCCCTCTTTTATGTTATATTTACTTTCTTGGTTTGAATTTATAGCTAAATTTCTTTGGATATTGTTTTATTTAGATATCATGAACTAATTTGCTTTTTTAAGATTATGGTGGATTTCAACATATAGTTTGAATATTAGTTTCTCTTTTATTTATCATGAATGGGTATAGTATTGCTTATTCAAACCCTAAACAATTAATTAACTTGTGAATCTAATTGATACTCGACAGAGAGATTTTAGATTGGACTAAGATTTGAATAGTGTATGTTCATGTGACTTAGGTGATCTGATTCACGATTCGACTAACATACACCAATTACCATACATAGGCAAATTAGGACACTAACTTAATGAGCTTAATTTAATTGATTTCGATAGACATATGGTGAACTAATTAAGTTAGGTATTCATGAAAGCATTTAAATAGAGACTTATACATAGCTTTGGATTCGAGATTAGTAAAATCATTTAAGAAAGATAAATAATGAGAGAAACTGGTATCAAATGAAGTGTTGAATGAACTCATAATCCTAGGTCTTTAATCTATTGTCTTTCTTAAGCATATTTAATTTATGTTTGTTAATTTAGTGTTTATTTTAATTTCATTTTAATTAGTTTTTTTGCAGTTTCTAGTTGCTTAAATAAGATTAATTTGCTATAAAATTTTAGTACTTAGTAAAAATATAGAAACAAATCTCTATGGAAACGATACTCTACTTCTATTATATTACTTGTTTAGGATAACCAGCATTTGCATGAAAATTTAACAACAACAATCTTTTCAATATTTACGCTTTACAAAACCTCAAGTCTCTAAAAATAATATTAAAATATAATTCTCTAAAAGATACAAATTTCTCATCCAACTAACATCTACTTAACAAACTAAAAGCTAAATGCTCACATCAAAGCTTATAATTGTCCAACAGCATACGTTAATCTTGCTAACCAAAACTCCCGCTAAGTTTAAGTCTTAAACATGCAAAGATGTTGAAATATGTAAAATGATGAGAATTAATGGAATGAGTACAACCAATCAGCAAGTAACTAACACCCCGCAGTTGGATTAAGTAGACTTTAAAACACTTTGGCCAAAAATATCATTAATCATATAGATATCAAAATAAAGTTTTCGGTAATCTCATTCAAAATTATATACTTCAAAATTTCACTTTCAGATAACAAAACAAACATATTTCGTAAATATTTAGATTTTATTGGTCTCCTGTAATATACTATGGTCACACTTAACCCTTGTGGCATAAGTCATAATCGGAGCGAAAATTACAATTAACCCTAGTGGCATCAAAAGTATACTAAAAGCAATCATTGGCTGCATTAAACAGATATTACCAATACCATTATTCTATAACCGGTGGTACGGTTGGGAGATCGATCTCTAATCACAGAATATATGTCGACATGGTCAACAATTAACCCCTATTGGCAAGATCATAACATAGCCATACTATGAGACACAACAAAACATATTTTCTAATTACCCAAATTTACAAAATAGTATTATTCACTTTTACAGAACACATCTGATGCACATAAAAACATAATCGTTTCAAATTAATTATTCACAAATATAGTCATACATGCATACATCAAACAAAATCATATTCGAATTTTAAAATTAAAAATCATGTTTTGCATAATTCATATTCTAAATCTAACATACAAAAATTATATATATATATATATATATGCACACACACACATTTTGCGTGCTTAATCAGTTTTTATAAATCATAGGACAAAATATATTATACTTATTATACAAAACTCAAATTCACATTAAGGTTAATTTTTAGGGTGTGAAAACACCAAAATGTTATCATTTACTTACCTGATTCGCTAAAACCAAATAACAAAAAGTTTGAATTCTCTTAAATCTATTAATTCAAAACACTCAAAATTAGAAACCAGCACTGCTAACTTGTCAAAACAAACTATGACTCCTCACTGGTCATTCTAAGGCATTTAAGGTGTAGAACCTCTTTCGCTAACCAAAATTAATTTTGATTAAAAAGAAAAATTAATTTTCTTTAATAATTTATAAATACATAAAACATTCAAAACTTAGAAACTCACAGGTTAAAATACAAAATTAGTAACAAATATAAAGTTTGATGGAAATACTTCAAATGCTAATTAAACCTTGTAACTTAAATATTGTTAACAAATTTTTCTGAAATTTACCAATTCAAAAATAACATTTCAAATAAATATTTATTCATAAAAAAGTTTAGTGAAATTCCAATAGCTTAAATTTTTGAAGTTTTTATCAAAATAGATTGAATATAAGTCAAGAATAATTTTTGAAATAATTAAAAATAAATTTGTAATAAATTCTAAAATTTCAAATTTTTATAACCATCTGACTTACTTCGAGCATTTAAAAATCTAAACCCGAATTATTTTTAGTGATAAACTCCAAACGAAATTCAAGTATTCATGTCACACTATATCATTAAAATTAGTTTTGATGAAAAAGATTGCAAAATTCCCAAGTTATAGAAGCCAAAAGTTTAAAAATCATCATAAACTTACTCAGATTTTTTTATTTCTAAATTCAAGTAACTAATTTTGAACTTTCAATTCTCTTAAAACAAAAACCCCTTAACCAAGCCATTAATATCAAATTAAACAGCACATTTCATATTACAAAAGCTCTCAAAGAAATAACTCAAAACATTACTAGAAAGTAAAGCTTTAGTGATCCAAAGTTAGTTGTCAGAATTGTTAAAAATAGATTTTTCAACCAACTTCGAAAATTCATATCTCCCTAATCATAAAACCAAATAAGATGATACAAAACACATTAGAAAGATCTTTTCAAGACTTTTCAATTGGTACCCATCATGTCACTTAAACAGTGTCAAATTTGAATGGAAATTGAATAAACACAAAAATAACTTATGACTTTTGTACCTAAACTAAAAAAGATACAAATCCTAATTATATCTTAATCCTTGCTTTCTTGAATAGACTTTTTACCCCTCTTTCTGGTACTTCTTAGGATTAATTTTTCCCAAATGGTTTCTTTGACTTTTAAACTTACGTTAACTTTTGTTTTTCTTTTAAACTTGATACTATAAATTAACCTTCACCTTCTCTAGTTGCTTTTCTCTTAAACATGGTAACATAAACTTAACCTTAACCTCATCTAACTTTAAACATGATAATGCAAATTGACATTAATTAAAATAAAACTACCCTATTTGTTAAGCGATCCTTAATATATAAAATATTTTAATATAAACCCAAATATTTATTAACAATTCCAATAAGATTTTTTGTCAACTTTGAGATTTTGTAAACATATTAATGTTATTGTATTTTTGAGTTAGGGTATTACAGGCTGGATTCTGTATATTTAGAATAAGTAGATAATTTTTCAAAATTAAAACCTACAGTATTCTTGCAAAAGGCAATAAGAACACAATTTCTAGCTCAAAAAATGAAATTATCACATTTCTATCAAAAACATTAAAACTTTTAGTATTTACGCAAAAAAAAGAAAACAGTTTGCATCAAGGAAACAAAAAAGGAAAAAAACAATACCCCACAAGCCACACTAACCCCACTATCACATCAAATAAAGACTAAGCGGCTATCTACTCAGCCGTCACCACAGGAATTTCATTTTCCCAGACTAGATTGAAAATTGAGAATAAAGGCTTTTAGCTCTTTTAGGTGGGGAGGAGATGATTCACAGAATAGGTGTTTCATCGTTTTGTATATTCACCTTAACTTATTTTGGCTAGAAGACCAAGATATATTCACCCTACTTTGCATTTTTAAACTCTAAGATTCAAAAAATTACAACCAAATTAAGTGATTCTTGGCCAAGAAGTTAAAGATTAAACAAGCAAGAAATGGTTGCATGTTGATAATACATGATAATTAAGGCAGTAAAGTAGTGATAACTATATGTTATGCATTAAGGTCATGTCACATTCTGCCCTTCTCTGCCTTCGCTTGCTTGAAATTATGTTTTAGGTGGTAGTTGCTACTTTAGTAATTTTTGAGACTCTTATTTTTTCTGACCAGTAGCTCGGCTGATAGGCCCATGCGTAAAAAACAATTCTCGACATAAAGTAGACTACTTGGAACCCTGAAAGAACCAAGATTCTATACATGGCGGATCGTGCCATATGCCACATGCTCCTCTCAGATCAAATAAAACGGAAGATCTTAATAAGTTTAATTACAAATCATTCCCAACCCAACTCCGACCAGAAAATAGGGATGGAAACACCACAAAATCTGTGAGATATCCAAGTGGTCCCATGAAAAGGAAAAAGAAAGAATTAAACTTTTTACAAGGAGGTAGATCAACCGCAGATAGAACATGTTCTGTATCATTAACCAGTCACATGAGTGCGTCCACTGCCTGCCCTCCTTTCTCAAATAGTAGAAAAGACTTAAGTGGGGCCAGAAAAGAGTGACAGCGTTGTAAGTTGTGACAGTCATTAAGATGTCCTTCCAGTTCTAGCCAAGTAAACTGCAAAACTCCACTACGATCCGCTTACATTTTATCTTGATTTTCATTCAAAAGTACATTCTAAATCTTACAATGATCATGGCTTTTAATGATTGAAAATAAGATAATTTTATCCGAGTCCTTTGAGGACAACTTTGTTCAGAGTAATCATATGCCAAAAACTATAAGTTGAAGCAAAAGGAAAACAAACCTAATTAATTGAACGGAAGGCAAGGCAGTATTGATAGAGAAAATCAAAAAGTTCCACAGTTTCATTTCGATTAAGTCCACTTCAAGACTTGGATTAGAGCTTGTGTTGTTATCGAGGAAATTATAGAAGCTCCAACTCAATCTCCACTACCTGTCAATCGTCAATCTGCTATGGTAAGCAACTTCTCTGTCTTTCAATCTTTTCCCACACACTGCCAAACAGGGCTCTTCACATGTTTTTGTTTTTAGTGAATAGAAAAAGCATTTTCAGCTCCGTGCTTTACAGATGGTCCTAACACCAACCACTCACGGGTTTGGATACTGGGCATATTTCTTATGCTACTTCCAACTAGTATAAGGCTTTTAACCAGAGAAGCCCTAGTGGAAGCTTCTTGTCACTTCTCTCATGTTTGCTTTGCTAGCTGCCATGCCATGGATCCAATCGTTCGCCTTTTTGTTCTAGCATCCTCCTTTACACATCTTCTTTCCGTAATAGCTCAACCAGCAAATCCCATCTCTCGGATCACAGTAGTGGGTGTTGTTTTCTGCGATATATGTTCAAGCAACACCTTCTCTAGGCACAGCTATTTCTTGCCAGGTAAAAGAGTGTCACAGACCCAGAATTGGTCTTATTTGATAGATTGGAACATTTTTTTTCTAACGTTCCAGTTGCCTATGTTTTTAATCAGGTGTGGAAGTCAACGTTCAATGCAAGTTTAAAGCAAAATCACCTAAAACCACAGAGCAGATGACCGTCTCAGTCAACAGAACCACTGATAAGTATGGAGTATACAAGCTAGAAATACCGCACGTTGATGGGGTTGACTGTGTGGAAGGTTTGGCTATTGAGTCATTATGCCAGGCAAGTTTAATAGGGAGTAAATCTTCAGCATGCAATGTACCAGGTTTGAAGACTTCGGTAAATCAGATATCTGTCAAGTCAAAACAAGATAATCTTTGCATCTACAGCTTGAATGCGCTGAGTTATAGGCCATCCAAAAGAAACACCACCTTGTGTAGAAATCACAAAGAGCTGTTGCCAAGTTCTTTTAACTCTTCAAAATGTATTTTTCCTTTCCCAGGGTTTGGTTTTCCTTGGCCTTTGCCATCATTGCCTTTGCCTCCACTACCTCCCCTTTCATCACTCCCATTCCCTCCCTCGCCACCTTTGCCATCTTGGCCCTTTCCCCGCTTACCGTATCCAAATCCTCCATCTTTGCCTTTCCCTTTTCCACCTCTCCCTCCTTTTCTTCCTAGCCCTACTCTTTTTAGCCCACCCCTCCACCTGCATTTAATCTAGGAGATCCAAGAACCTGGATACCTAATTTCCCTAGACTATCTCCTCCACCCCCACCTCATTTAATCTGGAGACCCCAGAACCTGGATACCATACATTCCCCCTTCCTCTCCGAGTATCCCTCAGAAGCAAACACCATAAGATGATTTGGCCTTCTCTAAATTCAATTAAACTCCAAAATAATTATGTTTGATACTATGTGTTATATTCATGATTTCAGAAGCTTTTCTCAAAATTGGTGGAGATATATTGGTACAGAAAATAGAATGTACTTGTCTTTGTTTTGATAACATTATTATGTATATATGCATGCAATTACCACCCCCTTCTGCATCTCCTACTTACAGGCATCCGCTAAATACTCCAAACGCGCACCAAGGAACATGAAAAAGAATTCTTTCAGCCCCTAAAGTTTAAACTGAGCACTTATCAGACACTGTAGCGTAAATTACACCTTTATTAGACATGTCCATCTCTGTATCATGTCAGAACTGGACTGGATGCCTGTAGCAATTCTGCTCAACGAAACGATGCACGGTTTCTGGTCCTCCCGGGTCAAATTTTAATTTGTCCACTCAATCATCTGCTTTAAATAATTATTTGTTTCTTTTTCAGAAGAAGGAAATTGTTTAACCAACATATGACTAGTTTTCAATTGTTCAGGAACGCCTGTCACGTCCTAACCATAAACTCATTCCTTGGCAAATCCTAAACCATATTTACAGTACCAATTGCGGTTTCACGCTAATGTACTTTCACTGTTCTGTTTTAATGCCTGCAACTCCCCGCTTTCGAGCTGCTTCACCTACTCAAGTAGTTCATCGATGGTGACACCAGCATCTTGCAGGAAAACAGAAAAAACATTCAATGAAAAAAAAAGAAGCAAAAAGCCTTTAGGGGAAATGGAAAAAGAAAAGCACAAGGGGATCATATTCGAAATGATGCCAACCCTTAATCTCTTCCTCCTCATCGGGCTTTCTCCTTTCTTCCACATTCATATTAATCAGAGGAATTTGCCCTTCATCAACTCTTCCCTCCTTTGCTGTTATTGCTTAAGCTGATCGACAGAAGAGAAATCAACCGAAAAAAAATTCAGCGCGATAATTTGTTGTGTTATGTCAGGGATATAACTGTAACCCGAACAAAATGAAACACCCATGGTCTGACAACTGATAAAATTCTCAGCAAAACAAATATCAATCAAGATATCATTTACTTTTTTACTCCGTTCCTCCAATTAATGTTCTTTGCTAGTTAGTTCTCAACTTCCTAGTTATTGGCTTCCATCTAGTCCATTTTGATCTTCTGCTAGTTCAACATCATCTTTACTGCCTTTTTATTCATATATTCATTCAGCAACAATAATTAGACTAGCCAACCTACTCCGTCGGGGCAAATAAACGTATGGCATTAATTGACTTCAGGTTAAACATGTTTTGAAATGCCACTAAATGCGCATCATTCTTGAAAATCGTATATAAAAATTGAAAATGCAAAACTGGCAGCGAACATACTAGCAATTCAAGTGAAAACAAGACAAAATACTTATCACAATCTGAAAACTGTATCAGCATAGAATCTAGAGGAACATAAAGTAATACCTTCCCCTTTCAACTTGATTAAACTCTTCATGTGTACTCTTACTTAACACTTGTCCATCTCTCTGTTGACCCTAGCAGCCTACATGTCGCAAGAGTTAAAACGGGTATTTAGACAGAGAACTGGATGAAAAAAAAACTATCAAATTTAATGAAAAGCAATTTTGACGAAAATATTTGGGTGTTGTGAAAGACATTAATCGTAATGAGGTTAGAAACTCACTAAAGTGAAAAATAGTCAAAATCTCACTTTGGTTGATTAGGTCAAAAATGCTAAAAAACTTTTACTTCTTTAAAAAAAGCTTAGAAAAAATAAACATTTTTACTTAAAAAAATATTCTTTATTAATTCTCAACTTTAATATCTCATAACTAAGCTTAAGGTCCTATTTATAGTTAGGCCCATATCGTAATAAATCTCTATTTCATGTTGTTTAATGCAACTAAAGTAGTTAGAAGATATTTAAATAAAATAGGTATTCTATTCCTATATAAAACATAACTAGCCTAAAGTCTTAATATAAGTAAATTAAATAAAAAAAAGAATATTATTATACCTATAATTCTAAAATAATAATAATCAATAATATACTTCTGTATCATTCTCTCTAGGTTGGAGAAAATTTGTCTTCAAGATCCATGTCTTCTTTATGTTTTTCATAGTAAGGAGAGAGATCAGTTACATTGAAAGTTGCAAAAACTTCATAATCTCCAAGAAATTCAATCTTGTAAGCATTATCATTAATACGTTCTAAGACTCAAAATGGTCTATCAGCTCAAGGAGATAATTTTGCACGAAATTTAGGAAAACGTTCTTTCCTTAAGTGAATCCACACTAAGTCTCTTCTTTTAAATTAGTTGGTTTTTTGTGCTTGTTGGCTTGCTTTTGGTATCTGTTAGTCTGACGAATAGTCTTCTCTCGAACTTCTTCATGAAGCTTCTTAATTTGCTTAGCACGTTTTTCAGCATCAACACTAAATTTATAAGTAGTTGATAACATAGAAAGATCTAAAAGACTAAGAGGGTGTTTTCCATACACTACTTCGAATGGACATCTCCTAGTGGTGTGGTTCACAAAATTATTGTAAGAAAATTCTACTTGTGCTAACACAAGATACCATTTGCAAATATGTTTACCCACAAAGCTTCGTAATAAGTTTTCTAAACTTTTGTTCACCACTTCTGTTTGACCATCCTTGGATAAGGGTGAAGATACTTCATTTTCATTAGAAACTAATAAGAGACTAAATGGTTTGACTCATAGTAAGCTTTGTTTAGGCCAGACACAGTGATGAGTGCTTTATCTTCCCCTTATCTTTTTGGGCGATCTTTTGACTTTAATAGAGTCAACATAATTTTTACTCCATCTTTGATGAAGAAATAAGTATTCTTGTATCTATCATAATGAGCTTGATGATTATATTGACATGGACATCCCAACAACAAGTGGCATGCGTCTATTGGGATAACATCATACCAAATTTCATCGTGATCCTTACTTCCAATAAAGAATTGAACACAACAATGCTTCATTATCTGAACCTCATTTTTTTTTCACAACCATTGTAGATTGTAAGGAAAAAGATGTGTTTCAATTTGAAGTTTCAACTTTTCCACCACGTAGTTAGCAACAACATTTTTACAACTTCAACTATCAATAATGACATTGCAAACCTTCACTTAGGATGTGCACCTTGTATAGAATATGTTGTGACGAAGCCAACTTTCATCTTCAGTCATCATAGCAGTGTTGAGGTTACGACGAACAACAAGATTTTCTCCATGATCGGAAAAAACTTCTTTTATCTCATTGTTGTTGAATATTTCTAGCCCATCCTCTACTTCTTGCATGCTAGTTTCTTCCATAACTTCTTCTTTTACAAAGGAGAATTCTTCGATTTGGATAATCAAAAGCAATATGCCCAAATCCTTGGCATTTGAAGCACTTCTTGTTGACATTAGAAGCACGAATAAAAATAGTTTCTTTATTGTTTGGAGTTTTGGATGAGTTTACCCTTGGAGGTGAAATGGTTATCAAACTTTGTTTCTCATGGTTTGATATGGAATCTCTTTGTCTTGATGTGCTCACTGAGTTTTTCTGTGATTGTTGTTTCTCAACCTTTAATGCTAATCTAATGACATCATTTAAATTTCAAATGGTTGTAGTTGAATAACATCTGCAATTTCAACATTGAGACCTCCAAGATAACGAGCTACCATTTGATTTTCAAGTTCATTAACATCGCACTTCATGTGAAGTTGTTTGAACTCCATTGTATATTCTTCCATCAACATTGTTTTTTGCGTCAAGTTATGAAATTTGATAAAAATTTCTTGTCAATAATACTTAAGAAGGAACTTACGTTTGAGATTTCGACGTATCTTATTCCATGTTCTGATTTTATTCCGACATTCTTTTTCTTGTTATTGTTTGAGATTTTCCCACCAAACATAGGCATGCTTCTTTAATTTAATTGCAACAAGCTTCACACGTTTTTCATCAAAAATATCCTTGAGCTAAAAAAGTCTTTTTACTATGTAGAGCTAGTTAAGGAAGTCATCAAGGTGAAGTTTTTATTCAAATTTAGGAATGTCGACTTTGATTCCCAAGTCTTTGGTACCAGCAATTCTTAGTTGACATACAAGTATTTCTTCATCAAAGGACAAATTTTGATAGAAAGGGTTGGTTTCATCCTTTTCATCACTAGAGCTGCTATTATTGATTTGAGCAGCATCACGTCTTGTGAGTTGCTCTTGTAATTCTTGAATTTGGCATTATAGTTCTTGAATCTCGATCTCATGAACATCTCATTGACAATTTTGATGTCTTGGTGGCAATTTATTGTTTGGTGATGACAATGTGATGATGTAGAAAAAATATGATGATATAACTATAAAGCAATGAAAGAAATAGAATTAGCCGAACAAAGAGTGTCGAAACTCGACAGCGAACCTGAACTATGCAACGAACAATGATCCTTCTATTTTGATACCAAATTAACGCTAGGGTATTGTGAAAAGTACTAATTGTGGTGTAGTTAGAAACCCCACTAAGGTGAATCACCAATTTTGGTAAAATTAGAAAACCCCACTAAGGTGAAGAATAGCCAAAATCCCACTTTGGTCTGTTAGGCCAAAAATACTAAAACCTTTTACTCTTTTGAAAAAACCCAGAAAAAATAAGCATTCTGCTTAAGAAAATATTCTTTATTAATTCTTAACTCCAATGTCTCATAACTAAGCCTAATGGTCTTATTTATAGTATTATAGGCTCACATCTTAATAAAAGTATACTTCATGTTGTCTAATATAACTAGAGTAGTTAACAAGAAATTTAAATAAAAAAGGTGTTCTATTCTTAAATAGAACATAACTAGCCTAAAGTCCTAGTAAAAGTAAATTAAATAAAAAGAAGTATTCTATTGTACCTATAATTCCTAAATAATAATATTCTAATAATATACTCCTATGTCAAATTTTATTGATAGGATGTGAGTGATTTATTCATTAGTGATAATAGAGTTATGTGGATCATAGCATTCATTAAGATAGTTTACATATTGTCATTCCAGTTAAAGACATCAAGTAAACATGATCTTACAAGTGGATAATCCTTCTTAGATGACTAACAACATTGTTAACGATGGAAAGACTTACAACCAAATAAAAAATCATAGGTAACAATTACCTCCA